GGCTAAGTGCAAGGCCCTGAATTCAAACCCCAGTACCACCAGAGAGAGAGAGAAAGAGAGAGAGAGAGAGAAAGATGGGAACATTTTACCCAGGCTAGCCTTGAACCAAGATCCTCCCGATCTCCACCTCCCGAGTAGCTGGTATTACGGACATGAGATGCCATGCCTTTCCTGAAGTAGAATTTTTTTGAAGAGCACAAAAGAGCAATCATCAAATAAAATAAAATTCAAAACTTTAAGCAATCTGACCAGAACTTTTTTCTGTCAACTTCCTAAGGCCTTCCTAACTCCTATGCTTTAATCTGACCAGTGAACAGTCTTTTTGCTGTATCAAATATGTATTATGCTCTTTATGTTCTTGGTCCAAATTGCAGGCCTCATCCCTTTTTCTTTCAGAATCCATTACTTTTCAATCAAGACCTTGCTTTTTTTTTTTTTTTTTTTTTTGGTGCTCAAGATGGAACCCAGAGAAGGCCCTGCTAAGCATGTGCTCTGCCATCGAGCTATTCTCCCAGCCTTCACATTTTTTCTTGTCTAAAGCCTTTCTTGTACCAGCCAGTCCAGCTCAATTTAAGGATAATAGTTAATATTTGAACAATATTTCACTTTTTTGTAAAATCCTTTCATATATTTTCTCATTCTTTATGTCAATCTAGTGAGGAAAATAATAATAGCTACTTTATAGATAAGGAAATTGAAACTTAGAAAAGTACGTGACTTTTCCAGAACTCATATGGATAACTAAGTAGAAAAGCTAAGAGTACTGAATCAAGTACTTTTATTCCAAGTTTTAAGCGCTCTTCCCAGTACTATGAATGTTTCATAACTTAGGTAATAGTTAAGTAGCATTTACTTGGTTATTACTTACTCATTGTTTATGTATCAAACTTTTTGAACTTGATTGTTAGCTGTAGACTAGAAAAGATGTTTAGATTTCGGGGAAAGGGAATGAATGAAAAAGATGAAGAGAGCTGAATACACTTCTTGATGGAGTTGTGCATTGCCTAGTGGATATGTTCTGAGAAATCTTCATTAGGTGACTTTGTCATTGAGTATCACAGAATGTGTTTACACAAACTAAAATGGATGTGATGTTATTAGGCAATGCAATCTTATGGAACCACTGTCATATATGCAGTGCAGTCTGTCGATGGATTGAAGCATTGTTATGTGCTATGAATGTAATAGTACGAAAGAAGTCATTAAAAATTCCTTGCTTTTCTGGAAGCATTATAATTAGCCTGTACCTTTTAAAAAGTACGATGCCTAGACTCACTTCTTTACCTCTAATCAAAATGCCTAGTTTGAGCTTTTGGTATAATTTTTGAAGCAGAACTAAACAAGAAAGCCTTTTCTGACCACCCTGGCTAGAGTATAACCCCTCCCCACCAATCTCTGTAACATATATTTCCCCCTCTGAAACACTTTATCTGAAATTTTCCCATTGCTTTATTGTTTGTCTTTTTCCACTGGAGTATGAGTTGAATAAGAGCAATGGTATTATTTGTCTGGTGTCTAACACCTGAAACAATCTGTGACATATAATGAACACTCAGTATACACATACTGAATGATTGAGATATGTTTCATGCAACCTGTATACTATGATAATAAGCATCTGCTTTTTTTTCTTTTGATAGTGCTATGACTTGAACCCAATTTATGTCGTGCCAGTAAAATACTATAAAATAAACATTCATGCTCTCGATTGCCTAATTTCAAGCATAATGAGTCCAAACTACTGTAATTGCCTAAAGAAGGACATTTATAGGTAAGGGGGGGAAGTAAGGTTTCTAGAACTATTTATTTGGTGATACTGGGATTTAAATTTAGGATCTCATACTTGCTAGGCAGGCACTCTACCACTTGAGTAACCCCACTAGCCTTTTTTGTTGATGGATTTTTTCAAGATCGGGTCTCAAGAACTATTTTCCCAGGCTGGCTTCAAACCACAATCCTCCTGATCTCTGCCTCCTGAGTAGATAGGTTTACAGGTATGAGTCATTGGTGCCCAGCTTAATTTTATCTTTAAATAGATGGATTTAATGTCTTAAAGACACTTGCCTTAAGTTAACATCTCTGTCTTGTAACCTAAACAAGGTAACAAATGAATCTTAATTTTTTTTCTGTTTTTTTCCCCTAAGGATAAAATTGTAATTATAACCATGACAAAAATTTGTAGGTGTTTAAGAGTCTGAGTTCCAAATTTATAACAAGTATTTTCTGTACAGATATCCATGGTAATTAGGCCTCTAAGTACTTGAAGGCTTTTAGGAAAAGTGTAAACTGTAGAAGTAAGATAGTCCTTATCAAATGGCCAGTAGTTTGATTTTATGAAACTATTTAGATATTATCTAAAAAACAGGCCAAATATTAGAAGACATAACCTAGTATTCCTTAATTTTTATGTTAACATTAGAACACTGACTATTTAAATATTGTTAAGAATATCACAGCAACTGGGTGTGATGGTTCATGCCTTCAGTCCCAGCACTTAGAAGGCTGAGGCAAGAGGATTGTGAGTTTGAGGCCAGCCTCTTAAAGACCCTGTCTTAAGGAAAAAAAAAAAAAAAAAACAAAAACTATAGCTCACTACTAGAAAAGCTCTTTGAAATCTTATCCATTATTTAAATATCAGATGTATGTGCACATATACATGGATTACATGTGAAAAAGCATATGGAAGTGTTTGATAAGCTGGAAATTATTATGTAAATGTTATTTATGAGGAAGGCTTAGAATAGTTTTTGTAAAACACTATGAAAAGAGACTAAAATTCACAGATAAAAGTGAAAAGATTTGGCAAGTAGCATCATCTTGGAGGATGTTCTTTGAGAATGAATCTCGTAGTTACTTTAATGCTTTATGCCAAGTAAATACTTCTTGAATAAAAGGAGATTGTGAAAAGACCTCTCTACGTTGTAGCAATATAGTTTGCACAACTTCAAGTAGTGAAAATCATTTAGGTATTCATTATAATATAAATGTTAGTGCTTTCATGTGTATTATCTGATTCTCCTAATAGCCTTTATGAATTAGGAATTCAGAGAAAATAAATGATTTACCTGAATTACCTATTAAGTGGCAAAGCTGAAATTAGAAACCAGGCATCCAAATTCTTAGGTCTTCATTTATACTTTAGACACCTGTAGCTCCTTTCTTCTAGTCCTCTAACAGGAATGAAAGATTTCTATTATTGCTAAATAATAATTTCCCTTCAGCAACTTTCAGGTAACTCAGTATGACTGAGCTGTGTGAGGCATTAGCAAAAAAAAAAAAAAAAAAAAAAAGGCCTGAAAGATCTTCTGACTCCAGAATCAAATATACACATTTTAACTGCATTTACTTGTTTACGATAAACTGAGAAACGATTTACAAATTAGGAAAAGAAAACATGTCTGAATCAAAGCTAAAGGAGGAGATGAACTGGTCAGTTAATGCTTTTAGCTTTCTTGTGGTTTAAATGCTATGTTCAGTTCCCATTATTATTATCTACATTTATTTTCCTACTTAAACTGTAATTGTAAAATAAAAAAAGGGCTCATATGTCTAAATAAATAACTTTTCTATCTTTGTTGAAGTATAATATCCCAAGTAAGAAAGCTTGATTAAAGTGTTGTGAACAGTATAGATATTATTAGAATTTTTACTTAATTCTGGCCTATCAGCCTCCAGAGTGCTGGGATTACAGACATGCTTCACCATGACTGGCTGTGATTTAGTTTTTTTTCTTTTGTCTCACCATATAACCCAGGTTATATGGGTTGGCCTCAAACTCATGATCTCCTATGTCAGCCTTCCTAGTGCTATGATTATAGATGTGCTCTATCACACACAGTTTATAATTTTCATTTTTTTTTTGTTGGTGGTATTGGGGTTTGAACTCAAGGCCTGTGCTTGATAGGCAGACAGTCTACACTTGAGCCACACATCCGGCCCTATAATTTTCTTTTAATAAAGGGAAGAGAATTGAGAATTGTGTGTTCATGGGACAATCTCACCCATGAGTAGTAAAATAAAAAATTTTAAATGTAAACTGGGTGCTGGTGACTCACGCCTGTAATCCTAGCTACTCAGGAGGCAGAGATTAATAGGATTGCGGTTCAAAGCCTACCTGGGCAAATAGTTCATGAGACTGTATCTTGAAAATACCCATCACAAAAAGGGGCTGGTGGAGTGGCTCAAGGTGAAGGCCCTAAATTCAAGCCCCAGTACCAAATTTTTTTTTTTTAATGCAAACACTGTGGGGTAGGGGATGTAACTCAGGGTAGAACACTTGTGTAGCATGTATAAGACCTAGGGCTCTATCGCCAGCACTGCAAGAAAATGAATAAAAGGACTAAAAGCCTGTTTTGTTTTTTTTAATGCAATGTTTGTAATTTAAAATATTATATCAGCCTTTAGTTTTAAGAAAAAAATGTATGTCAATTATTAATCCTACCTGGTTTTTGTTTTATTCCTGCTTTCTGTCACACATATACATACCTGTGATAGCACATAGGTCAGAATTTATAGCTGGGTATGGTGGCATGTGACTTTAGTCCCCACTTACTCAGGAGTCTGAGGTAGGAGCACTCCTTAAGCCCAGGAATTTCAGACCAGCCTGGGCAACATAGATAGACCCTATCTCATATAAGAAGGAGAGATTTATGTGACTTCTAAACAGTGTTTCAAGTAGCCTATTGCTTGGTAGAAATTTTGTTTTTATTTATTTGGGGTGCTGGGGGTGAAACCCAGGGCCTCTCACAAACTAGGCAGGTACTGTGCTACTATAGGAAATACAGTATACCTCCAAACTTTGTTTTTATTTTTACTTTTAAAAACACATTTGTTAAATAAGCTTTGTGCACAATCCTGATCTGCTTCATTTTCCCTAAAAGCTGCCTCTACTGTTCTCTTTACAGATTTCTGGTTCTTGTCATTATAAGTATTTGCAAGGATGACAATTCATCCCTGGTATATCCCCCCCCCCACTCACACACACCACATTCATCTCATACAATTTTGCCTTATCAAAATTTAATTGAAGTTATTGTGTAATGGATTTTCAACATAGCAGTCAAGAGGACAGCTCAGTCTGAAAAAGTGAGTACAAGAGTAAAGTTCTCCAGTATACTATTTAATACATATGGTATTAAATGCCATTTAATAATCCATTGACTTTATTACATCTATTTGCAGTGACTACCTAGACTTGTTTATGTAATATTTTTTTGTATTTGAGCTATTGTATTTTTATAGATAATTATTTTTGCCTCTAAATTCTTTTCTAAGGATAAATTTCCAGGTGTGATTTTTTTAGCGCTCCTAAAATAATATTTAATGGCTTTAAATAATTTGTCAAATGTTTGATAGAATTATTTGCAAAACTTAGTGAAGGTGTAAGTATGCAAGTATCCACTCATTTAATCAAAACCTAGCCATATTGTTTTATTATTCTATTCTATATTCTTTTTCCTTTCTTTTTTTTTTTTTTGGCAGTACTGGGGCTTGAACTCAGAGCCTCACACTTGCTAGGCAGGTGCTCACCCGCTTGAGCCACTTCACCAGCCCTTTTTGGTGTTGGGTATTTTCAGCATAGGGTCTCACAAACTATTTGCCTAGGCTGGCTTTGAACCGTGATCCTCCTGATCTCTGCCTCTTGAGTAGCTAGAATTATTGGCGTGAGCCACTGGTGCCAAGCTAGTCTGTATTCTTAAATCAAGATTATTTCTGCTCCTTATTAACATGAAACGTCCAAGTTGAGGTGAATCCTTGCTTTTTTTTTTTTGCAGTACTAGGGTTTGAACTCAGGGCCTACACCTTGAACCACTCCACTAGCCCTTTTTTGTGATGGATTTTTTTTTGAGACAGGATCTCACAAACTATTTGCACAGGGTTGGCTTTGAACCATGATTGTCCTGATCTCTGTCTCCTGAGTAGCTAGGAGCTTGGCTAAATCCTTGCTTTTCAGTTTTTTCACTATTATTCTTTTATGTGTGTGTGATATATAAAGAAATGTGAAAATCCCTTTTTACTCTTTTGATGTCTAGAGAGCCAAATTTCTTTCCATTTTTTAATATACTATATAATGCATTTCTCACAAATGTGAAATATTTTGCCTTTCAGTTCCAAAAGTCACTTAATAGATACCATGTCCTGATAGCATTTCTCTCTCTCTGAAAATGATTTAGTTAGATACATAGTTTTTTCTTCAAGCATTACCCATCAGAACAATTTCAGGTTTTTCAGAAATAATAATGTCAGTGTTCCTTTGGTAATGAATATTTAAAGGAACTTCCTTAGAAATTAATTCTAAATAGATGGTTTTTATTATGTTTTTTACTCTAGATGCTGATTGATCCTTGAGCTACAACTTTATATATTTTTTTATTTTACAACTTTAAAAAGTAATAGTCTTACAGTGATTTTTTTTTTCTGGTGGTTCTGGGACTTGAACTCAGGGCCTCATGCTTGCTAGGCAGGCACTGCACGAAATGAGCCACTTCACCAGCCTTCAAAATTGACTTGATGTTAACATTTGCCCCCTAAGGTTTTTGTATTTGAATAGTATCTTTTGCATTTGAATATTCCTAGCAGGGCTAAAAAAGCATGCTAACTCACTTGTGTACCTCTGTAACCTGTAGCAGATTAAACAGATGTTAGAAGTTTCGAATACCAAGGTGTTTTTAAAGTAGAAAGTTTTGAGAAATAGGAAATCATAGTTATTAAAATGTGCAAAGATGAATAATTCAGGAAGAAATGCTGAATCATCACTGCTGGCATGTGCAGTAGGTGTTCTCATTTCTTTAGGGTAACATATGATCATCATCCTTTCATTATGTTCGGAATGTGTGTGTCGATTTCCCTTTTGTTATCAAGTATTTTTTCCCCCCAAGTTTACGGATACTTAAGACATTTACAATATGGGCTGTGTACAATTCTTTTGACATTCTCTCACTAATCCATCTTCTCAATGTTCTATTAGAAATAGGGGCTGCAGGTGTAGCTCAGTGGTAGAGCACTTGCCTAGGATGCATTAGGCCCTGGATTTGATTCCTCTCCAGCACTGGAAAAAAATCCAGAATGGGAACATTTTTTGAAAAGATGAGAAAATGGTGTGGAAGTTAACAAATGAGTTATATACCTCAAAAATATTTCTTAAAAATATTTCTTAAAATACTCATTATATGAGAAAAAAGTAGGCATCAGAGGGTATATACATATAAATGTTATGACTTAAACTTTATCAATTGAAAAAGTACAGAATTATAGCAAATAACCATTCATAGAAAAAAGATTATAGGAAAACAGTAACATTTAACAGGAATTACCTAAAATGATAAGAAGATTTTTATTTCATTCTTTTTTTTCCCCCGTGTTTTTTCAAGATCTTTCTCAATGAGTAAGTAAGTATATCTTACAATCAGGAAAAATGTGTTTTAAAAGAAAAAAAAATCTTTTATTATTGCCCTTTTAAAATAGTATATCCATGTTTAAAGTTAATCCAGTTAAAGTCTTTTAAGGAACATGACTTTGTTTTAATCTAACACTTCCCCCTAATTTTACTGCAGCACAAAAATTCTTTAAATAGTGACCCTAGGAGTGGTGGTCCCATTCTATTTTAGTTGAAGTAACTAAATTCAGTGATGAAGCTTTTACAAATACTGGTTTGCTAGAATGATTCACTCATCTATAACAAAAAAAAAAAAAAGGTTAAGATCATAGTAAGTCTTTTATTTACTTAAAAATACTGTTTTTTAAATTTATGACAGTATTTTTATAATGTAAAATTTGGTATGTCGACTTCCTCACATTTCTGACTGATAGATCCTAGGAATTTTGAAGATGATACAAATTCTCCTGAAAATTTTAATTTAAACACCTCATATTTTAATATTGTGTATTTTGCAGTTAAATAAATTTAGAAATTAAAATATCTAAAAAAAGTTCAAGGCACTTTTACTTGTATAATAACTTGGTCACTTATTTTAACATAGGATACATAATGGCTTTAATTACTTCTGTTGCTTTTTCACCTCAAATAAAGTGAATATATATGTAGTTTTGACATTCTGTGTTGATGTACTGGTTTGTTAAATGTACTTGGCCTCTTAAATAGGAAAAAAAAAAAATGGTAGCGCCAGAAGGAAAATGAATAGTTAATCGTGGAGGAGGAGAAAGCAGAGCTCAGTACTTTGACTAGAGGCAGCTGGGAAAGTGACGTCCTGTAGCATTTGCTGTTCTAGAAAGTGCAGAGACACGTAGTGAAAATGGGAGGATCTAGAAGGAGGCCGTCTCTTGTGTAGTGTATATTTATCTCTAAGTGAGCTGTTGGGGAAGGAATTAAATGCAGAGACACTGTCTGCTTGCTACGTTAAGAGAGCTGATCTGAGTTGCTGATTTGCTTTAACTTTTAAAATATCCAGCTTGGTTTATTTTTCTCAGAATCATTGTATTGCTAAGACTGGGGACGCCGTTTTCTTTTACAAAGGGAAATCTAAGTTTATTTCAAGGCATTCGAAATGGGGAAAGACTATTACTGCATTTTGGGAATTGAAAAAGGAGCTTCAGATGAAGATATTAAAAAGGCTTACCGAAAACAAGCCCTCAAATTTCATCCCGACAAGAACAAATCTCCTCAGGCAGAGGAAAAATTTAAAGAGGTCGCAGAAGCTTATGAAGTATTGAGTGATCCTAAAAAAAGAGAAATATATGATCAGTTTGGGGAGGAAGGTAAGTATGTATTTCTTTCTCTTCGTCCGTTTCTTTTGCTTTCTGTCTCTATTTTATTTTATTTTTGCCTTCTGTCTTAGACTTCTGGTTGTCATTAGATTCTCAGACATACCAAAAATTAAAAAAGCAAATAATAGGAAAAAACAAGATTTCATCCCTGCTTATTTGAATGAATAATATGTAGCTATGAATGAAATGTTCTTGTTTGCCTTTTTTGAGACTTTAGCATTTTGTATTGTACATATTCCACCATTAGATTAGCAATGTTAAACGTTGTGTATTTTAAAAGAAACCTTAAATTCCTGTACCCATGAATGAATTGTGTCAAAAGTCTTATGCAACCTGTTTTATTTTCTAATGAATTTTCTGCTAGAATCAATAGTCTTCAGTCATTTAAAATCTTAAGATTGGAAGCTCAAATTCTGGGTAGCTTACATTTTATTCACAAAAACAAAAAGAAGTTTTTTGCCTTTTTAGAGCAAGTCTAGTTTAGACCAAACAAGACAGAGTCGTCTGTCTTAGAAGCAGAAGGCACAGGCATTTAGCTTCTAGTTGTTTTTGGCATTCTGCCTGGAGAGGAAAGAATTTTCCTGATGTCATAAAATACCAGAACAAGTTTTTAGCTTAATTGTAAACAGTAATTGTGTGCCAAGAAAATGAGATCTCAGAAATACAGTTTTTGACCTAAAATGGCCACCTTGTTAGAACAATTACTGGATTTTTTTTTTTTAAGGTAACTATTCCTTTTGAAATTTTACTACCTAGGTGTAGAAGAAGGCATGACAACTCCCTGTTTCTCTCTCTGCCATACTTTTGTTTATTGAATTGTGAGGCCAGAAATTAGTGAAATTAGTGAATGCCATATATGGGTAATATAAGATTCTCCTTTTATCATCCTGGATTTTAAATCATGTTTGTCTACCATCTCTCCATACAAATGCAGCTATAAAGAAGACTATTTTAAAATTGCTAATTAACAACAGAATGACAACAAAACCTTTAATTTCTATTGATTCGGGGATTTTCAAATTTTAAAATTAGGACTTTGGTACTTTTTAATTTATTTTTCTCCTCAACTGTCTGTTAAGTCATTATAGCTATGAAAACATTTTTGTTATTCCTTTGCTTTATTTATTGCATTTAAAACATCAACTTTTCCTAATTAGAAATACAATAGAGTCAAGCAGTTACCACTCATTTTGGAGTATAATAGATGAAGACAGGTAGGGTGAGTGTGTATAAAGGATTTTTCCCCCCCGTCTTGTTTTTCTTCTTGGTCTGTGAGTAACAAAAAGGTTAAAGTTTATGCTGCTGATTTTGGTATGATGAGAATCTGCACTGTCAGGTTCTCACAAAGTAAATATTGGAAAAGGCAAATAATGGGTAGTTAAATCCTGTATATTCCCTATGGCTGTAGTATTCAAAATACCATCATTTGGTTATCTAAGAAGCTAAGCAGGATATTGAGATACTGCCAGTAATTTACCTCTCTTTTTGAAGGAGTTATTTTTTAATTTTGTGAAGAAATTCACAAACATGGGATGGTACCATAAATTTCCATAAAAAAGTAGATATACACTGCTTTAAATCTGAGATATTTGGCCACATGACTAAGCCATAGTATCCAGATTTAACAAATGATACACTTTACTTGGTTTAATATTACTTCTTAAAAGTACGTTTCTTGAATGATTTTTTTCCCTCTAGTTTGATTTTTACTCATCATTACCAGTGAGTGAATTTTTAAAAACGAAGTCAGGATCACATATGTGCTCTGAATCTTTTTGTAGTTATTGTCCTTAACTCAAATGATTGATAGAAGCAACTAAAGGCAGGGGTAAGGAGAGGAAATGTTTTTCAAGCACTGAAATATGTTATTCAGAAATGGTCTGCAGTTATAGGCTACTTAAAATGAAAGTTTTAAAATTATTTTTTAAAATTAGTCTTAGTTCATAGAAAAATGTTGTATTTATTTGCCCTTTATTCAGAATTTTTATTAATTCTTAAAGAAAAAAAATCCCCATTAGGGGCTGGAAGTGTAGCTTGGTGATACATAATACTTGCCATAGCTTGATACAGCTTTTGGGAGGCCCGGAGTTCAATCCCCAGCACCTAACTGTAAAAAACCAACCAAACAAAAACTCCTTTAGGTATACTTTGAGAATATGGGAAAACATTTTTTCTCTTTGCTTTTCATTGCTCTGTTGGTGTCTGCAGTCCTGGTCCATAGGTTTCTCCAGTAGCAACAAAACATGGACACTAACAATTCACCTGGAATGTACACACACACATTGCATTATGACATTCTTGGAGCTGTTAAAACAGAAATAAGGAGCCATGAACTGAGAATTATACGAGTTGATGCTAAATTTATGTATGTGGGAATTAAGAGAGTCATTTATCCAGTTTATTTGTATTCTGAAAATCTCTAATATCTGCAACTTAAAATGCTTTGTTTAAAAAAAAAAAGTGGGACAAAAATAGAGATGTTTTAAACTTGCTAGATGACTCCACTCCCAGGAATCTTTGCCTACACAAAGTACCTGAATGTTCATAGCATTATTTTTAACGGCCCCCAAATTAAAACAACCCAAAGTACTATTAATTGGCAAATGGGTAAACAAAATGTGCATACATGGGGGGTTCTATTTTAGCAATTAAAAGGACCTCTTTAATGAAATATGCTAAATCATAGATGAACCTCAAAAAGAGTGCTGAATGAAAGAACCCAGATATAAAAGAGCTCATATTATGTAATTCCATTTATATGAAGTGTCTAGAAAAGGCAAATTTATAGAGAAAGAAAAAGAACTTGTTTGCTTGAGGCGATAGGTAGGAATAGAGATTAGCTGCAAATAGGAAATGGGGAACTCTTTGAAATGATGGAAATGTACCATAAATGGATTGTGGTGCTGGCTGCACAACTCTGTAAATTTGCTACAATTGAATTGTATATTTACAAAGGGTTAATTTTATGGTATGTAATAATTTGGCTTTTTTTTTTTTTTTTCTTTTTTGTGGTATTGGGTTTGAACTCAGGGCCTACGCTTGGAGTCATTCCACTGGGTTTTTTTTGAGATAGGGTCTCACGAACTATTTGTCTGGGTTGACTTTGAGCTGCAATCCTCCTGATCTCTGCCTCCTGAGTAGCTAGGGTAATCTGGCTTTTTTAAATAAAGAAATTTTCTCCATAGTTGGGTCATTTGAAAACAAAATCCATAGAACTGTAGAAATTTTAAGTGTGGATTTTGAACCACACTCTCTCCAGAAGTCTTAGATTGAGTTTAGTGGATATAAACAGAAGTTTATATTAAAAGATTATTTTTGTTCAATAGTACATCCTTGAAGAATTTATTTTAGATCTCTAACATTTCTTTTTGCCTTATTTTGTTTCTTGTTTACTCAATAGTTTTCTTCAAATACTGAAAGTTAGTGTTTATATCATCAAACTTGTATTTAGTATATTAATCTATGCTACTTTTCTTGTTTTGTTCTTTAACTTACATATTTAATCTACTGGATCTCTTTATTTACTATGTACTCTAAAAACATGTAAGTCAACTGAATTTTTGTGAATTAAAACTGTTTAAAACCTCTCATTCTTGGGGGGGATGTGGCCCAAATAATGCATACACATGTGAGTAAATGTAAAAACAATAAAATAAAAAAATCTCATTCTATAACTCTCTGAAGTTTTGCCATAAATCTAGATTTTTTACATATTAGATCTCCTTAAAGTAATTTATTAATACTACTCTTTTTTCCTTTGAAATCTTAATTCTTCTCCACTGTTTCTTCTTTTGATAAACATTTAGTCAGCTAACTAGTGGAAGTCATTGCTATGGATAGTATTCTGAAAATATATTTGTTTGGATCACAAATTGGTTGGTTTGTTGATTGGCTTTTAAATAATTGCTTTCCTTCAAAAGTATAGGCAAATGTTGATTCTGAAGTGCATTGCTTGGTCACACAAAGTGATTGATAGTGGTGTCTAGGTTGGATAGCAGAAGAAATCCAGTTGAATGTTAACATTTTACATTTTCATGAAATGTACATGATTAAGAATTAACCATATAGGTGATGATATGCTAGTTATACTTCACATGCTAGGCAATACAAGTTATAATTTGCATAATTCATGTCATATTAAGATGGCTTTTTTTTTTTTTTTGGCAATACTAGGGTTTGAACTTAGGATCTTGTGGTTGCTAGACGAGCCCTCTACCACTTGAGCCATACCCCCAAACTCGTGGCATGAATTTTGATAGGATTTTCTTAGTCATTAGAGTAGCTTCATTCTTTATGTGAGCTACACAATTGAACATTTAATGTCTAGGAAAATCTCAAAGCTGCATTGGGGTCTTTTGTGAGCTTTGATAAGTAAGTCACTTCAGATTGTGAATCACAGACTCTAATGCTGACTGAATTGCCATTTTTGAGAGAGAGGGAAGAGATTTTAGGAAAGGGCCAAACCCATGATATAATAATTAAAATGTAATTCTTTTCATGCATCTGTTATAGGCCCAAAGCATTTAGGTTTTTACCTTGTAGAGGGTTAGTTAGGGCAAGCTAGTTTACCCAATTTAATTACCTGAAATAATTATGCTGTATGAAATCCATAGGATGGATAAAATGATTGAAATAATTTAAGTATAGTTTGGTCACCTTGGTCATGACCTTGAGTTATATATGCATTCTATTGTTTAAAAAGGTCTGTCATTTGCTTTTTAGCATTTGGAGTTATAATTGTACTGCTAAAATTTATAAAAAGGAGATTTGGATGAGCTGCATATTAAAAGTGCTTATCCAGCTTATACTTGTCATTCAGTTTCTACAAGGAATTTCTCTAACTGCTATTTGGCTATATCATTCAGTATACATATTTTGATAATTTTCAGATTTTTAGGTTCTCTTGGTCCCTTCAGATTTCTATTCATGAATGAAGGTAATAATTGAGAACTTATTTGAAACTCTTATATGATGTAGAATACATGCATAACTTTTAATGGAAGAAGCCAAATATACAATAAGAAATATGCAAAACTAAGTCTTTTTGAAAGCATTCAGAGCATTTTTAGGCAGGTGCTTTACCACTTGAGCCACTCCAGTAGCCTACATGCAGAGTATTGTCATTAGAATTTTAAACTATTAAATCTCATATATATTTATGTGTGATTATATTGTTTTTGCTTTGCTTTCTCTATATTCACACTCAAGACACCTTTTTTAGTTTCCGTTTAGAAAGACTTTAAGAATTTTCTTCATTCAATAAACATGACTGTCTATCATTTTCAGCCCTGTTTGCATAAGCGATACAAAAATGAATAAAATACATTACTTGGTTTGAGCATATACAGATCTCCCTGTTTAAACTCTTGAATTATTCAGTTTTATAATCTTTATTTTCCTCCTTTTTGCTTGGTAAGGAATTCCCATAAGTCTCCCTCAGAAACTTTGCTGATACTATAATGTTAGGAATGAAATCCTTGTCAGTACTGACCTCTGAAAATATCACTATCCTATTGTTTTGTGGGTGTTAGTAGACTTTTTCTTTGTTTTGAAGTAGAAAATGCTATTTCAAATGTCCAGAATAGAGAGAAGTAACAGTTTGAAGGTCTTACATATCAAGAGAATTTACAGCTCTTGATTTCAGTCTTACCTTTCTTTGGGGGAATGGATGGGGATAGGCAGTAGTACTGGAGTTTGAACTAAGCCCTCAAACTTGCTAGGCAAGAGCTCTACCACTTGAGCCATATCCCAGCCCTGTTTTGCTTTAGTTATTTCTCAGATAAAGTCTCACATTTTTGCCAAGGACTGGCCTCAGACTTCAGTCCTCCTAGCAATGGTCTCCCATAGGGATAACATGCACACACCCACAATGCCCAGTTCATTGGTTGAGATAGGGTTTCACTCACTGTCCCTGCCCCCACCTCAAACTGCAATCCTCCCAAGTAGCTGAGAGTACAGGCATGACGGACTGAAGCCAGCCTCAGTCTTGTTTTTATATGCTTTGAATTAATACTATGATGTGGTATGTGTAGATAAACAATTTTGGTATCTAGGATGGAATAAATAATTTTAGTTTCTAAAAAACATTTTTTCATAAAATGTCCTCATTATTCTGCCACAGAAACAGTTCTGTTCTAATTCTTAAATGGTGAAAGATGATATGAAATGCAGTATGAATATGGTATTATATTACATATAATCAGTATTACATATTGATTATACTTATCAGTTATAATGCTACTTAGAGATTTAGATTCTACATTTTACATTGATTACTGAAGTCTTTTCAACTGACATCTTTAAAACTTAAATTTATATACTTCAGTATGCCAAACCAGTAATTTATGAGATAAGGGATTCTCAGTTTTATTTTCTTTTTTTTTTTGTGGTACTGGGGTTTGAACTCAGGGCCTATACCTTGAGTCACTCCACCAGCCCTTTTTTTATGAAGGGTTTTTTCGAGATAGGTTCTCATGAACTATTTGCTCAGGCTGGCTTCGAGCCATGATCCTCCTGATTGCTGCCTCCTGAGTCACTAGGATTACAGGCGTGAGCCACTGGCGCCCAGCTATTTTATTTCTTATTTACTGTGAGTCAAAGATTCAGGAATAAAAATTTAAAGCTAAGGATATTAAGGGAGAATATGAAAGCTAAAATTTTAACTTAGGATGAATTGTCAGAAGCTATATTGCTGTTCTGTATTGAGTTATAGTGACTCTGGGCAGTATAAATAAATTGGGACCTAACTTGGCCAAAGTTGATTAGCTGCACAGTTTTTGAAAGTTTAACTGTCAAGAGTTGCAAGCTTTTTTCTAATCATGCTATTTCTTTGCTTAGGGTTGAAAGGAGGAGCAGGAGGTACTGATGGACAAGGGGGTACCTTCCGGTACACCTTTCATGGCGATCCTCATGCCACCTTTGCAGCATTTTTTGGAGGTTCCAACCCCTTTGAAATTTTCTTTGGAAGACGGATGGCTGGTGGTAGAGATTCTGAAGAAATGGAAATAGATGGAGATCCTTTTAGTGCCTTTGGATTCAGCATGAATGGATATCCAAGAGACAGGAATTCTGTGGGGCCATCCCGTCTCAAACAAGATCCTCCAGTTATTCATGAACTGAGAGTATCACTAGAAGAAATATATAGTGGTTGTACCAAACGGATGAAGATTTCTCGAAAAAGATTAAATCCTGATGGAAGGAGTTATAGATCTGAGGACAAAATTCTCACTATTGAGATTAAAAAAGGGTGGAAAGAAGGCACCAAAATTACTTTTCCAAGGGAAGGAGATGAAACACCGAATAGTATTCCAGCAGACATTGTTTTTATTATTAAAGACAAAGACCACCCCAAATTTAAAAGAGATGGATCAAATATAATCTATACTGCTAAAATTAGTTTACGGGAGGTAAGTTAGTAGGACCTAGGATTCTGAGATCAAACAGATTTATGTAGCTGATTAATCTTAGGGAACTATCTACATAATACCTATCTAATAATATCTAATTCATGCCTACTACACATTATTTATTTTAATCCTCATATCATGTACTCAGATCCTCAGATGTACTGAGGAAGTACATCTTTTATGGATGACATTATATATTCTAAGTTTGGCTACTTGTATTAACCATTTAATGTTAGTTTCAAATGCAAACTTGATTGTGTACTGTGAGGCCCAATATTGAGTTAACTCTATTCTGTTCTAACAATTGTGGTTTATGAGATCTGCATTAGTAATCTCATCACCTTAATCCACTTAGAGAATTCATTCTATGATATTAATTTTGAGTAGTTGCATAATAAAAACATTAAAATAATTTATATTAAGTAAGTTATAATATATTAATAGTATATAATAATACTGTTTTAATAGAATTCCCTGAGTTTTTTTCTTCTGTTTTTGTTTATGTTTTCTGAGACAGGGTCTTACTATGAAGTCCAGGCAGACCTTGAACTCCAAATGCTCCTGCTTCTGCCTCTCTAGTGTTGCATTACATTACCAGCCTGGCTCAATTCTTATTTACATCATTTCTCAAATTCTGTTGTAACCCATGAAATGTGATCATGTCAGTTCCCTGTTTAAAATTCTTAAATGGCTCTATGTAGCCTCTATTATAAAGTCCATATTTAGCTTAAAAAAAAAAGGTAGAACTCTGCTTTCTACCTAAAAGTATATTTTCTTTTCCATGAATAATTGCATAATTCTGTGCCATTGTCTGAGCTCTGTGGTACACTATTGTTCTTCAGTTTGTCCTAATACCTGCTACTTAGTCCAATACTTAAGCTCAAGCATTATCTACTCCAGAAGGTAAGCAGATAATGTGGGTGTCATTTCTTCACAAAGACCTGTGTCACACCTCTGTGGCCACATTATACTATATTATAATTGCTAGCTTTATGTGTATGTTTCTGTGAGCTCCTTGTACATTTCTTTTTTTTTTTTTTGGTGGGAATGGGGTTTGAACTCAGGGCTTTGTGCTTGCAAAGCAAATGGGTCTACTCCTTGAGCCACACCTCCAGTCCATTTTGCTTTGATTATTTTGGAGATGAGGGTCTCACAAACCATTTGCCCAGGCTGGCCTTGAATCATGATCCTCCCAAATTCAGCCTCCCAAGTAGCTAGGATTGCAGATGTGAGCCATTAGCATCCGGTTTGTGCATTCCTTGAAGTGAGGTCTTGGTTCGTGGTTCCTGTATGGTTTAACAAGAATTGTGTGGTATTATAGTGGACACTTAGTAAACATTTGTTTACTGAAAAAGTGTATTTCTTATCCTAAGGTTTTCCAGAGAAGTAAGCAGTTCTAGTTTCCAGTTATGTTTCTCCCTTTTCTCCCATTCTAATTCCTGCATCTTGAATATTGTACTAGCAGTTTCAGATTATCTATTTCATTCCAAGGCAATGTGTAATATCTCCTTTACTTCTCTTTTCCTTTCTTTTCTGTCTTTTGTACCATCTCTGATTATGCATGTCCTAGTAGGGAAAAAGTTTTGTAACTACTGTAATTCTTTTGGAGGTTAAACTTTTATCTTAGTGATATTATTCTTTACCTCCCTGTTATATTTTTGCTTATATATTTCAGCTTCAGAGTTTGTTAACTTTTATTTGGTCCATTTTAGGCATTGTGTGGCTGCTCAATTAATGTGCCAACAATGGATGGAAGAAACATACCTATGTCAATAAATGATATTGTGAAACCTGGAATGAGGAGGAGAATTATTGGATACGGGCTACCATTTCCAAAAAATCCTGACCAACGTGGTGACCTTCTAATAGAATTTGATGTCTCCTTCCCAGATACCATATCTTCATCATCCAAAGAAATTCTTAGAAAACATCTTCCTGCCTCATAGAGTGAAGAACTCTGTTACCCATATTTTGATAAGACACTGAAAATATAAAAGGACTGGCAGTTTACTGATGTAGCTGTGAATTCTGTATAAATATGTGTAAATTCTTTTGAGGGTTCATAAATTGCATGAATAGAGACGGGTCAAATAAATAGGCAAAAGGGATTTTTATAGTTAGAGATAAAGACAAAACCACTCACTGTATTTTACTTTGTTTCTCCCAAATCAGAAATTTTTAATACTTTACCTATATATAAAAGTTGGTTCTGAGGAGTCAGCAGATATATTTCTGGTAAAGTACTAGACTGTTCGAGTACTTTATTTCTTAAAATTTTAGATCAGTATGTTAGGTTCCCATAATGGAAATTAAAATTCTTAGCCAAACTATACATGTAATATATAGAGGAGAATAAAAGTCCAAGTCATTTGGAAATGTGGTTATTTGATTTAAATCACCTTCTGAAATGCTGCTATACAGCTGAAACTGATAAAAGAATATACTGATGCATAAATTTCACCATTTTAATTTTTAAAGTACGATAGCATTTCTTAATAACATAGTTGGAATGTTCTTTAGCAGACCTTTGGTTCCTAAAAAGAAAACGAATGGCAGTTTATCTCCTGTGGAAGTCCTAATAGCCTGAATTACTAATATTTTAGACATACTGTTTTTAAAATGCCATATATAATTTTATGCAAGTTGACTATAAATCTTGGACTTAATAAATTATAGGCTCATTTTGTTGTCCATTAGTTTAAAATAATTTGTTTAATAATAAATGTGTTTCTAGAGAAAATACTGTTACTTGGAATTAATTTTCCAATTACACAGTCTTCTATAAGTTACTTGTAATATGCTATATGTACCTTATATAATTCCCTAAAAAGAATAGACTACCACTATGGTGTTAAAACAAAATATGGGGAAAATAAACACTAACTGCTGTTTATGGACAATGTAGCTACTACTAGTTATACATATAAATATTTTACTTTTTCATATCTATAGATTGCATTTCTTAGGTGTTTTAATTTTTTAAATATATTTACATTTAAAAATTGTTTTGTCTTCTCTTTTGTAACTATTAAGAATTATGTTTTGAAGTAGTTTTTGGTTAACTTTCAGGATGATTCATACACACATACACACATATGCACACATACACAAACATACACACACACACACATACACTATGGTATGCTGGGCCCTATAACTATTTTAGTTGAATGTGAAATCGTTTAGAAATTCAACTTAAATGTTTTATAATATCATATATCTTATAGCTTTGTTGAGATAGAATTCATATATGGTTTACCTTGGCTTTTTTTTTTTTTTTTTTTTTTTGGTGTTGGGGATTGAAGTCAAAGAGTCTCATGCATACTAAGCACTCACTGTACCACAGAACTACACCCCAGCTCCTTGGTTTACTCTTGTAAAGTGTCCAACTCATTGGGCGCTGATGGCTCATGTCTGCAATCCTCCCTACTCAGGAGGCAGTGATCAGGAGGATCGAGGTGCTAAGCCAGCCCAGGCAAAATAGTTTTTAGAAACCCTATCTCGAAAACACCAACACAAAAAAAGGGCTGGTGGAGTGGCTCAAAGTGTAGGCCCTGAGTTCAAACCCTAATACCACAAAAAAAAAGTAAAGAAAAAGTGTACAACTCACGGTTTTAGTGTGTACACAGAGTTGTGCAATTATCACCATTGTCAAATTTCAGAACATTTTCATCATCCCCCAATAAAACCCTATTTCCATTAGCAGTCACTCCTCATTCTTTCCTTCTTCTAGCCTCTGACAAACACTAATCTACTTTTTATCTGGTGGATTTGTCTGTTCTGGATGTTTTCCACAAACGGAATCAATATGTGGCTGATGTGGTTGTGTGTGTGTGTTACTGGGGATTGAACCCAGGTCTCTGCAGTTGCTAGGCAAGTGCTCTACCACTAGACTTACACCCCCAGCCCTTTTCTGGGGTTTTTTGTTTGTTCTGGGCTTTTTTGGTTGTTGTTGCTTTTGAGATAAGGTCTCACTAACTTCAGCCTGGCCTTGAATTTGAGATCTTTCTACTCCACCTCTAGGAATTACAATGTGTGCCACCGTGCCCAGCTACTACATGACTTTTTCTTTAAGTTCTTTCACTTAGCATAATGTTTTTAAGGTCTGTCCATGTTGCATTGTCTATCAGTACTTCCTTCCTTTTTATGGCAAATAATTCATTATATGAGAATTCCACATTTTGCTTATCTGTTCATTGGTTTGGGGGGCATTTGGGTTATTTTCACTTATTGGTTGTTATGAATAGTACTGTTTTGAACATTTATGTGCAAGTTTTTGTGTGGACATAACTTTTCAATTATCTTGGGTATATACCTTGGAGTGGAATTATTGAAAATAACCATACACTTCACTGCCAACGGAAAATGAAAAAATGCCAGAGAATTGAACTAATCATGTTTATTATTCTACCTAATTCATAAATTACTTCTTTAGAAGCTTATTTATCTGCATAACAATTAAAAACCCTAGGGTTCAACCCCACACCAGGGGAGCTGGATGCCCTAGGGAAGTGTGAACATCATGGAAATTTTCTCACAAGTTTTAAAGTGCTAGAACTGAAAAACATCAGGCGTGGATGTAAATTTTTATTTTAAGCCCACGATTATTTATTGCAATTTTCTTCATTAAACACTTTCTCTCAGGTAAAATAAAGGATTTATAGATTAGATACATGGATCATCTTTTGGTTAAATGTGTTTTATTTAAGAATTATTCTAGTAGTCAAATAATAACTATCTTCCTTGCCTTAGAGAAAACTGATAATGCCTCAGCAAGTAGCAAGTGCCCAATTTTTACTTGTTAAACTAACAATAATACTAAAAGGTCTGATCTTCGTAGCACACGCTGGTAATCAATGAAGCAGGAGGATCATGAGTTTGAGGCCAGCCTGTGCAACACTTTATTTAAAAACAAAAACAACAACAACAAAAAAAACCCCAGTGATACTAAAAGGGGCTAGTGGAGTGGCTCAAGTGGTAGAGTGCCTGCCTAGCAATACAAAGTGCTCGAATTCAAACCCCAGTACTATCAAAAAACCAAAGTTTTAGCCACGTGCTGGTGGTTTATGCCTGTAATCCTAGCTATACAGAAGGCAGAGATCAGGATTTCGGTTTGAAGCCAGCACCCGACAAATAGTTCTAAGAATCGCTCAAGTGAAGACTGCCTGCCTAATAAGTTGAGGCCCAGAGTTCAAACCCCAGTACCACAAAAAGAAAAAAAGAAAGTAAATGTTACTTAAGCCATTATCTCAGGGCGGTCAGCGGGCCATTGAGGATTATCCCACCTAGTGCGGGCTTCTCCACCTACTTCATAAACACCCCCAGTATGTAAGGGGCTCGGTGCCGCAGCTCTCTTGCTGGGGACTCCCTCCGCAGGACCACTTCTCCACAATAAACCCTGTGCTGGCCTTTGAGTCCGCTACCTGGCTATCCATTCTGCTTTCATTTCTAACAGTAAAGTTTTAAAATTTTTCTTATTTATTTAAATTATGAGAACCTATTGATTTTAAAATATTCTTTTGTGGAGCTGGTGGAGTGGCTCAAGTGGTACAGGGCTGGCTGCCTGGTAGGCATGAGGCCCTGAATTGAAGCCCCAGTACTGCCTTAAAAAAAAAAAAATAGGGCTAGAGGTGTAGCTCAAGTGGTAAGAGTGGCTGCCTAGCAAGTGCAAGGCCCTGAATTTAAACTGCAAAAAACAAAACAAAAACCTCTTTAATTCATGAAGTTCTTGCATAGCTACAATAGTTCTGAAGTATTACAGATTCCAGTAACCTACTTGCTAAAGATGTTTATCTACCTTTCCTACAAGAAAAACTACAAGTTGCTTATATTAAAAGAACTATAGACCAAGGTCATTGATGGCCTGCCAATGGAAGCATTTTGTTTGGCCAGCTTGGTAGTATAAAAACCATTTTTAATTAGGATGTTTCCAAGCAAAGCATGCATTCTTGCTCTACCACCAACCTATTATTCTGTATTCTCTTACCTAAAGCTGCTTCACACAGTTCATTTGTCTCTGGCTTCTGAAAACATCTGAGTTTTGACCTCTACTGTAGCTCATCACTTCTGCCTATTATTAGTCTCTCTTGGAAGCAAGAAATTGAAAATGCTCTTGCTTGGTTATTTTTAGGAAACTCATTTGGATAGTTATGATGGATAAAATGAAATTAATATATGTGATTGGACTCAGGAAATGGCCTAGAAGTCACTAATCTCAAATTTCAAGGGACTATTTTCTTAACCTCACAGTTAAGGCTAAACAAACATCATTTTTAAAACATTTTTTACTCAATAATGTGTGATATAGTATGATGCCTTAACATTTCTCTCTCTCTCGCTCTCTCTTTTTTTCTATGATACTTTAAGTTCATTATTTTAGCTTTTGAAGCTGGACAGAATTTTCAGGAATTCTTTCCTGAAGTTTTGCAGTGAAATCAGAAAGACTACGTTCCTTACTTGCCTATAGTTAAAGAGCATATTTGTAAGAGAATTCTGAGAATTCTTGTCTCTTATTTTTCAGTGTCATTTTTTCCTAGTATGCCATTGATATCTCCTGTTGCTAAATTTCCAAGACCGGATAAAATTCTTTTTTTTTGCAGTACTGGGGCTTTGAACTCAGGGCCTTCACCTTGAGCCACTCCACCAGTCCTATTTTTGTGAAGGGTTTTTCAAGATAGGGTCTCATGAACTATTTCCCTGGGCTGGCTTTGAACTGCAATTCTCCTGATCTCTGCCACCTGAGTAGCAAGGATTACAGGCGTGAGCCACCAGCGCCTGGCAAGGATCAAATTTTTTTAAAGTTTGTTTGCCTATTTTATATAGTCTGTGTAATTTAGCATATTTGTTTGAAATATTTTGGTTCCAGTTATTCCAAGACCTTTGTGTAGCTAAATAAAAAGTACAGATCATATGTATATATGATTCTCGATTTCTTTACATAGGTTTTTATTTTATTTAATTTATTTTTTGTGGTACTGGGACTTGAACTCAGGGCTTTCACCTTGAGCCACTCCACCAACCCTACTTTTGTGAAGGGTTTTTTGAGATAGGGTCTTGTGAACTGTTTGCCTAGGCTGGCTTCAAACTGTGATCCTCTTGATCCCTGCTTTCTGAGTAGCTAGGATTACAGGCATGAGCCACCAGTGCCTAGCCAAAGATTTTTATTTTAAGTGTATTTTTCTTCTAATCAAGCATGTTGTATGTGTGTGTGTGTGTGTGTGTGTGTGGTGTGTGTGTGTATGTGATTGAATTAAAATATTTTCAGATGGACTGGAGGCATGGCTCAAGTGGTAGAGTGCCTGCTTAGCAAGCCCAAGGCCCTGAGTTCAAACTCCCAGGCTGGGAATGTAGCTCAGTGGGAGAGTGCTTGTCTAGTATGTGTGAGACTCTGAGTTCAATCACTGCACTGCTAAATAAATAAATACATAGTAAAAGTATTCTCAGAGAAGTAAAGACACTAAATCAAAGAGCAACACGTAATTTTAAGTAGTGATTGAGGATAGGCTATGAATTTAAAATTACTATGAATATATGACTATTCTGAAAAGTCTGAACCAAGTATCTTTTATCTAGTTACTGGTGTGCCTTCTTTTAAAATTGGAAATAAATACTCTACCTGCCTTTGATTTTAGTTTGTAAAACATTAATTTTACACGAGCATAGTGGCTATATAGCCTAGTATGTTTATAGTACTTTACAATGTTGTGAGGTAGTTATTACCACATCATGTTGGAGATCAGGAAACAGAAATTCAGACATTCTTTCCCAGGTCACACAGCTAAAATGATGGAACTGAGATCGAAGCCTAGATTATGGTTTGGACCTGGTACTCCCACTATTCATGGCTATGTGGCTACCGATGGCAGTCATCTTCATTTGTTCTAGCTGGAAAATCTGAACCAATCTCTCCATACCCACTAAATTATTTAAGAGAATAACTTTAGAAGACTCAGAGAAGTCACCAATTTATCACTGTGAATGGATAGGGGCAATTCATTGTGATGCCTTGCTTACACAGAGACCATCTTAGCTTTTGTCAGGATCAGGAATATTTTGTATAGAGCATTAGGCTACATGCTGGGTCACAGACAAGAATGATTTTTACAAAAGCCTTTATGACGTTGAGGATCAAGTACACATAGAGTGTGTCAGTGGACATGCAACACATGACCTCCTACATGAGAAGTGTATTTTCTACTGGTTAGCTTAGG